GACGAGAAGAGGAACCGAGTACAACGCACAAAACGCAGGACAACGAAGTGAAGAAGAGTGCACGGAAAGACAATGGAGACTTCTACGAAACACTGACAAATGGAGCAGAACAGGCTGCAGGTAGGAGAGATACAGACCTGACAACACTGTATCAAATAAGCAGGTTACTTGCTGTCTGGGAAGAGATCAACACTGATGAAACCAATACAAGATGATGACGGAAATTTAATTACCAAAGAGGAGAAACAAAGGAAACAATGGGCTGTCCGCTTAAGGAAGCTGTCGAATCGACCACCACCTGCACTTCTTCCACAAATACCACCTACAGCCCAGCCGCTGAACTACAAGTGAACATATATCTTCCAACAAGTGTGGAAGTCCTGAGTGCCATAAAGCTACTGAAATGTGGGAAAGCAGCAGGACCAGATGGGATCCCGCCAGAAGCACTGAAAACAGACGCGAACAGCGGACATGCTCACACCACACCACACTACTATTGCAGAAGGTGTGGAAGGAAGGGAAGGTACCTGGCCGTTGATTGGAAGAGGGTTTACCCTGTCAAACTTCCGAAGAAGGGAGATCTAAGTCTTTGCAAGAACTGGTGCGGAATCATGCCCCACTCCTGTCCACCCAGAACAAGCAAAATATTAAGCCGCATCATCCTGGAGAGGCTAAAGGATGCATTGGATTCAAAACTACGACCAGAACAGGCTGACTGGCTGGATTCAGGAAGTACAAATCATGTGCAACGCCACTCCATGCATCATCATAAAACAGAGTATAGAATAGCAGTCCAGTCAACTCTCCACCTCAACTTTATCGACTTTGAGAAGGCCTTTGACAGCGTTGACCGAGAAGTAATTTGGCAGCCAGCTGCTTCAACTCTACGGAATACCACAAACCTTTATCAATCTCATTCAACAACTATATGAAGACGCCACATGCCAAGTAATTCATAATGGGAAGCGCAGTGATGCTTTTGAAGTGAAGGCAGGAAGGAGTAAGACAAGGCTGTCTACTGCCACCCATGATATTCCTGATTGTAGTAGACTGGACTGGGTCATGCAACAAACAATGAGGAACGAGAAGGGGGGCACACGCTGGACCGGGGAAAAGAACCTAGAAGACTTGGATTTCGCCGATGACTTGTGTCTAGTGTCACACAAACTTCAAAATCTTTTAGGATTTGTCCTGGTGCGAACTCGACGGACGCAAAGACCAATCACTAATCATTAGGACCTGCTATATACCCACGAATTCGAGACCAAGGAAGAACACGATAGCGTAGTTGGATGGAATAGTATATTAGGATGGTTGTGCCAAATTACAGATGCGTTTCAACTAACTGGCTGGAGAGTCGAATACGAGCAGTGCAACGTAACACGACAGCGTGCCAAATGGCGGGGATGCTTGACCGGGTGCCTTCAGCTTAGTGAGTCCAGCTAAACTACCAAGGTCAGCATCAATGTCGAAAGTTGTCAAACCCTAGGCTGTTGATTTTGGGGAAGTGTGTGACGCTACAAATCACTCCCCCTCTGGTGGGTCCGTGAGGACCCTAAGACGATACCAGCCGGAAGTAAAAACCCAGTGGTTTCTCCACTGGTAAAACTCTTCCGATGAGCTCACTGCTTGAAGTGGCCCCTGGTCGTCTGAACTTATTCTAGGGTGTCGTGGCAATTAAATAATAAAATACAATGAGTCGAATTGTACGTTGATCGCGGTCCTCAGTTCCTTTTGACGTTCCGTCCAGTGCTCGTTGCACCTGGAATATAAATAAAAGTCTTCAATACCACGAAAACTTTTCGTAAAAATGAAAATTATTTATATATACACATATCGGAAAATGAAAATTTACGCTGATTTTCACGATTTTTTTTAAAAAGTTTCCTTACATGGTAACAAAAATTGATATAAAAGGCAAAGTGTACGAGGGTTTGCATTGAGGTATCGGGTGGCAGTCCGGAGTTGTTTTGGCGTTAAGCCTCCGGTAATCGCCGGTTGGACGCCAGTCGTTACTACCCTTTTTGGGAACCATGTGCAATGGCGATGCCCAAGGACAGTTTGATGGCTGATAATGCCCAGTTCGAGCATGTGGTCGAATTCACCCTTCGCCGTCCTGAGCTTATCGGGGGCTAGATGGCGAGCTTTGGATGCCACAGGTGGACCTGTGGTTGTGACGTGATGCGGAAGAGTGTGCTTCGGTTGCTGCAACTCTGGATATTTCTCCAAAACTGCTTGGTAGGACGCGTCGCCTGATTGTTTGGTTCTAACGATGGCTAAAGTCGGACCTACATAGGTGGTGCCACCAATAGATAACTTTGTGTTGTTATCTATCAGTCGTCGACGGTGAGCATCTACGAGTAAATCGTAATGGTTTGGCAAATCTATGCCAATGATGGGCATAGAAACGTCAGCAAGGAGGAAGATCCAGTGGATAGGTCTACGTAAACCCAAGTTGAGGTAGGCACACTGTCTCCCGAATGTCACGATTGCCTTGCCGTTGGCTGCTTGAAGATTGAAGGATGGGTCGTGATGACGCTCCTCTGTCGGTGTGTGAAGGACGCTAACTTCTGCGCCGGTGTCGACGAGGTGGCGGACTTTCATTTCAATGTCGGTGACGTAGAGCAAACGGCTTTTTCCGCCGGCTACGGTTGCCGTGAACAAGTGCCGGCGTGACCGTTTCCCGAGTTTGTGGCCTCGTTAGAACGGCATGGTTTACGACATTTTCTGGCTTCATCCCCGTAAGTGTTATGAAACCAGCACCATTCCGGGTTTTCCACCCTGTCAGGTTTAGTTTTAGGGCTACCACGCGACTTGCTGCGATGTGCTAAGGTGCGTTTCTGTGAAGTGCTACGTGAGCTAGGACTTCGAGATCGTAGCAACTGTTTAACAGAGTTGCACAGCTTGGCCACCTCTGAATCCTGGCTGTCTGGTTTGTCGCAGACAGAATATACGTTGGAGACGGGTCTGCTAGAAATCTCCAGTATTTTATCTACCGAGGCTGCCAGGTCATCGAGTGGGACTGACTGCAGTGTCACCAACACGGTTTGCACCGGTTGTGGTAGTTTCGAGAGAAATAGTTCTCGGAAGACCATCGTCGAATGTTCGTGCACCCATAACTTCTCGCATGCGTGCGAGGACTTCAGCAACTGAGTGGCTGCCTAGCTCGATGTTACGAAGTAATCCGTGTAGGCGCTGGCGATCTGTGAGTCCACTTTTCTTCAAGAGTGCGGCCTCGAGAAGTGCATAAGGATCACTTACTTCAGGACTAAACATGTGTGCTGTAAGATGCCTGTTTAATTCCCGTGTTAGTGACCGTATGACGGCGAGAAATCGAGAATGAGGATGTGAGACGCCCTGTTCTCGAAAATCGGCCTCGGCATACAGAAACCATGTTTCTGCATTGTCTGGCCAATATGGCACGAGTTGGATCGTGTTCGTAGTCGGCTTAATACGAATAAGCTTGGGAGTGTGGTCAGACATGAGAAAGTGTAGTAAATGGATGTATGAATGTTATCGCAATGAAAACGATATACAAATATAAAATGGAACAGGCTCACCAATCCAATATTTGTTATTGGTCGGGGTATGTGGTCACGTCAGGATATGTGAGCCCGTCGGGCTCACCAATTTAGGGTTTGTCCTGGTGCGAACTCGACGGACGCAAAGACCAATCACTAATCATTAGGACCTGCTATATACCCACGAATTCGAGACCAAGGAAGAACACGATAGCGTAGTTGGATGGAATAGTATATTAGGATGGTTGTGCCAAATTACAGATGCGTTTCAACTAACTGGCTGGAGAGTCGAATACGAGCAGTGCAACGTAACACGACAGCGTGCCAAATGGCGGGGATGCTTGACCGGGTGCCTTCAGCTTAGTGAGTCCAGCTAAACTACCAAGGTCAGCATCAATGTCGAAAGTTGTCAAACCCTAGGCTGTTGATTTTGGGGAAGTGTGTGACACCGCAATCTACAGGCGAAAACTGACAAGTTGACAGAAGAGGCAGGGTAGCGAAGACGGGACTTCAAGTGAATATAGAGAAGACGGGCGATGAAAATACCCAACCAACCAACGACCCCACCAACAACAACAAACTCCAATCACCATCAGCGGGAGAAACTTAAAGGAAGTAACCTCCTTCACCTACTCTCCTAGGAAGCACTGTTTCAACTACAGGTGGGACAGACGAGGACGTCAGAGTCAGGATCGGGAAGACAGCAAGGCAGGAGTTCATTAGTCTGAAACCAGTGTGGAGACCTTCTGCACTCAGCATGTGGAACAACATCGGATTTTCAACACCAACCTCAGTCAAGTCAGTGCTCCTGTATGGTTCAGAGACTTGGCGCGTCACGAAAGGGATTTCCAATAAACTACAGACATTCATCAACAACTACCCCCTACGCTGGCTCGTTACTGAAGATTAGATGGTCAGAAATAATAAGAATAAGCAACAAGGAACTCTGGCTGGCTGGCTGGCAACGAACCAACCAAGAACCTGTCACTCAACAAATATGCAGAAGGAAGTGGAGATGGATTGGGCACACACTGAGGTCGACTGGGGACATCACGCGCCAGGCCCTCGAGTGGAATCCACATGGTTAGCGACGAGTTGGGCGTCGGTGCCGAGGGTGGCATATAGGAGGTGGTTCGAGGAGGAAATGAGAGCTTCTGGGCTGTCATGGGACCAGGTCCAAAAGATTTCAGAGGACAGAGAGCATTGGAGACGTGCTACGGAAGCCCTATGTTCCACTAGGAACCCATGGGACAAATAATAATAATAATATATTAATAATAATAAAAATAATATAACTTCTGTTAACCAGATATGGAGAAAGAAATGGTGGGTTTTATTGTACGATCATCTACCAAGGACATGGAACCCTTGCGCAATGAGTGGAAGGGAGAGTTGAAAAATCAATTAGCTAATGTCATGTAACCTCATGGATTAGATATTGGATATGGGACTACGGCTATTGAAACTGTACCTTTCGATGTGGGGATTTGTAATTATGCGGAACATTGTTACTATCACATGAGTCGCCTCCCTCGGCGCTTCTGCACCTGTTTTGCAACCCGCTTTATGGTTTCCTAGCATTAGCTACAAAAGTTACCCTAAAATCATATATTTGATGCCGATGGTCGGCGAAATGGAGGAGGAAAAGTGGTCTCCTGAAGCTGGACACCAGAAGATTATTGAGTTAGACGATACATTAGTGGTAAGTCTCAATTTTCCCCCATACATTGGCGTGAAGGAATTACAGGATACTCTTTGTCGCGCCCACGGACTGTTATTGTCTACATTGGTATCGTCTTAACATGTGGACTTTTACGGTTAGTCTTCCACTGGTTTCCTCATTGGATGCTGATGTGTATGAATAAGAAATGCTCTTTGCTTCAAGCCCAAAAGATTCTCGTTAAGGTAAACGATAGTCAAGATTTACCTGTGTACCACAAAATGCCACTTTTGACCCTAGTGACTTTGGTTGACAAATGTTTTATCTCTTGTAGGATGCTTATGGCGTTTACTATATACATGATGTACTTGTTGACACTACTGACGGAATCAGGTGAGACTTATTCACGCCTAATAATTATTTCAGCCATAATGTCAGAAATTTCCGCATGCTGAAGTCTGGGTCGGTATTGAGATCACAAATGGCGTGTAGAAGAAACGTAGGTCAACTTCTTCTATCACGTTACTTTATTTAGGATGATCAAATGATTTGTTACTTCATGCACAAGTGTCTAAAATACATATGGGACAACAAAACTAACCGTTTCGAGCTTCTTAGGTAAGATTCCTTCAACATCTAATTGATGCATGCTTTGGTAATGTGGTCATCACACCACATTTAGTTTTGCATGATTTCTCGTTAATACTAGTTGTGTGCAGTTTTATATCTCATGTAATTGGCTGTGCTCCCGCCTCATCAACTCCACTTAACTTAACCAACTTGTTTCCAAATATCATCCTATATATATGCAGGGTAGTTTGGAATGAATAGAAGCCTTGTACATTTTGATGCTTTAGGTAATGGGCCACATGTATTGTGTGAGGATCAGTGATACTGCTCAGTTGCTTAAGTCTTAGTAGAAGGTGATAATTTGGGGAGCGCAATGCTGCTGATGAACTTGTTATCCCCTAGCATATTTATGAAATGAACTGGTTTTCGATTTTTTAAAAGAACATCTCAAGAATTACATGCACCTTTAAAACTAATAAAGTCCCTATGGAATTGTATACCGTTCTATGAAATCTGTTTCCGCAGTCTTAAAAATATGAGTTTCGCATTAAAAGAGGTGCTCTTTTTCGCAGTACACAGGCACTTGAGACCTCTTGTCACCTTTTTGATGGTATGTTTTCTACTTGCAAGTTCTCGTGGTCTCGTGAGAACTATTCATCGCGTGCGCATCCGCTTATGCATCTGTTCGGTTCATAATAGGGGTGTATGTTATTCAGTAGGGTCTTAAACCACATGGTTTCTATGTAGGATAGACTTACTTGATAATAGGATTTATTCATAAATGGTGATCGAAATGCTGCAACAGTAATCCCATTAGATAGAACTGAAAATTGACAAGTGTTCCGAGTTTTTAGTTTTTGCGAAAGTAACACAAAAAGGTTGCTGTCCCTGAATGAATTACTGGCGTCTACAAAATGAACCTTATTGAGTTCAGTCAACATTAGTATGGGGACTGGCATTACCGCATCACGTTGCAAGTCACCACACCTCACACCAAATATCGGCATATAGGGCGACGAAAGCAAAGTTATAAAAATAGAATAAGACTCACAAGTAGTAGATAGCTGTAACATGAATAAAGAGAGGTTGAAGCAAATGATCAAATGTAATTGAACAATTAAAGTCATGAAATGACTTGGATTTGGTTTTTCATGAGTCCTGACTAGGAAGTCTACTTTTTCTGACTCAGATCGAACTGACAAACTCCGGCTGATGCCATGCTTTATTTCGACCATTCATCTTCTTTCCACGTAGCCCTACTTCAGCTAACATAGTGTGTTGATACAGACGGTAACTGCTCATGCAAAGCGCATGAGCCTAACACTACAGACGAGAAAGGTTCACAACCATCTCACTCCTATTGCCGATGTTACACCTAACTTCTACATTGCTAGACTTGCAGTTTTACCACTCACGGGTGATGGTGTTATTGTGACTGAGGGCTGGTGTTCAAGGGCCGCAAATGTTTTACTTTCAGTGGATATTTCTAACAGACATAGAGCAGGAGGAGGGATTGTGCATTGCTGTCTGCCCTTAGTAGCTCTATAAAAGTCTATTCTCTCTTTTGTGTTTATGTTGAGATTCTGTTGCCCACCTCTCCACCACAACTTATCCTACTTTCCATGGTGGTAGAGTGGTCAGTGTGCACAATATTTTTCACTTCATATTATCTCAACACCTTTTACATCAAAACACTCACCATTGTCGATTCATGGAGATGGGATTCGTAAGTCGCTATTCAAGTGCACGAGTTTAGTGCAACCTATCTACTTGTGCATATACATCACAGGCTACGGTGGACACATCTGACTCTTTAGCTTTCATTAAAAGGCTAAATGTTTTCAGCGGAGTCAGTCTTTCACTTCATTGTGGCTGCAGACAGTACGTGTTTCAGCAAAAATAGCAGCGTATTTCACTATTCTTCTTAATCCTTATTTTACACTTCAGTTGAATAGTGCATGAATAAATGTCAACCCAGAACTATTAGAGCAATAGACTTTCTGCTAGGCCGACACATGCATGACCACAAGAACTACTCTGAGAGTTGAATAGTGTGGCTTGTAATTGGATGTGATGAAAAGTGCTGATGTAGAAAGCTTCGGTGAACTTTTGAAGAGCGAATTTCAGAAACCAAGTGTGCCTTTTCATGAATTTGAAGCATTATTGTTGTCTGCAGAGTTGGAGGAAGTTGAAAGTGGTGTAGAATTATTGACTCCGAAATGTGAAAAAAACATGGGAGATAATGAGTTAAAAAGTTGAATAAGTAGGTGAATAAGAAGGAATTGAGTGGTAGCAAAGTTATGAAGGTAGTTGATACTTACTGAGTCCCCAAATCGCCTCAGTTCATTTCTTACTGAGGTACTTGAGAGGAAAGTTGATTAGTGAGAGCAGTTCTATTGGCCTGAGGGCATGACTGCATCGCTAACGGAACATCTGGTTGAGGAAGGTCAAGCGTAACCGTTTTAGGGGTGTGATTTAAACTTAATTGTTGCTTCCGTATCAGGTCTAAATGCCTTATCATTATATTAAGAAATAACTGTACCTGTTTTCCTATCAAATTCTATCTATTAACTCATTTTAGGCCAAGCGCTTCCCTTACATGTTAATTATTGCGATAGTCAGTAAGTAACCATTGTTCCTAGTCTAGTTTCGATGGTCAAGGTAACTAGGTTACGTTTCAAATAAGTGTTTGTCCAAAGTAACAATACATCGTCAAATGAAGCTGCATAACTTGATAACAAACATTTTATTTCAAAAGCGTAGTGAAAGTTACCTTGTCTGTATTTTTGTGATTGTACAATTAATCACTGAATTAGTTTGATACAAATGCTTTTGTAATTTTTCTCTAGAGGTTGGCATGACACTACATATGGAGAGATTTTACATTCTAAACCTTTAACTAATGAGGAGATAACTGCACGTCGTGCATTGTATGGAATAAATGAAATAAACATTAGTCTAACTCCTGTTGTCAGATTGCTGCTTGAACAGGTAAGTAGACTGAAATGCCGTTTTAAAATGTTCATTCCAGTAATTTGTTTATGAGTTGCTTAGAGTAAGTTTGCTTTCGCAAGAATGTAACGAGTTCCTTAACTACATTCCTGTTTCGTTTTTTATTTACATCTAGTGTTTGAGTCCGTTCTGTTGCTTTCAAGTATTTAGTTGCATCTTGTGGTATTCAGAGGAATACTGGATATATGCTACTTGTATCGTGGTAATATCCGTCATGTCACTATCATGGGAAGTCTATGAACTGCGTAATGTGAGTCGTTGCTTACTTCGTTTTCATAATTTTAATGATTAAAGGTGTTTACTCCAGTGTCACATGCCCTCCTCTGTATCTGCTTGCTTTAGGTGATCAGGTGAATGGGTATCATTGGTAACCTTCAGACTACTTGTATAGCTGGTGGTCTGACTTGTAGTTTGTGTAAGGAACTCACCTGATTCGTCCTACTAGTTACCTTGGTTGTTTTAATTCTCAGGTTCGCGAAGTACGTTTTGCTTTTTCATTTGACATCTGTAAATGGTGCAACACGCCGACTAAATGTTCGAAATTCAGAATTTTTGTTTCGTAATATGTTTCAGTTTATATATATATATATAGTCTATCAACCAAAGAAGATGGGAAGAGCTGGATGCTGCATTGGGTTGGTTAAATAATATCAGATAATCTGGAAATGCTGGATGTTTTTGTCTTTTCTGAAACTGATCAGTAACACATTTATGAGGATATGGACTGCATACATTCGAAACTCATTGGTTTCAATTGTAACTTGGTGTCTGGCATAGAAGAGTGCTTTCAAGCTCACCAAAACTTGAAAATCGATCATCTTTTGAATTCTACGTTATTCACTTTACTGGCTACGTGAGCTTGTATTTACCAAGTAGTGTGGTTTGTCCCAGAAAGAGATAATATGACATCGTACAGAGCGCTACTTTCTGTCCATTTAAACGTAAACATATCAGTAGTGAAGAACGTTGGGTCGTGTATTGTGATTTATTCATTATAGTCATTCGAACTGAGCAATTACCCATGCTATATAGGCATTTTCTGCCACCGAAAACGACTCTTACTAAATTTTGGGTCACTGAAAAAATAACGTATAACCCAGCTCAAGTTGTTTTCCTCAGTACTGCCACCAAAATAAGGTTGGTTTATTGGAAATAGTGAGTACAAGCCTTTGCAAAATGTTTACGTTATTTCTCAGGTCTGTCTGAAATATTTTAAGTCAGTTTCAGCGTAGGCTAGTTGCATCTCGTGGACGAGGATTTTTGACAATAGGTTGACTCTGTTTACCATTATTTTGGGTATATTTAGTGACTACGAGAATGTGGGACCCTTTTGTTACGAAGTTTTCCCAAGTTTCTCAAATAGTAATGTAACAGACCCAGATTTTTTCCAAAAAAAGCTTGGATTGTTGAGTAAACGAAATAAGTGAAACCACTAGATGTGATTTCAAACATCTCTTATTCCTTACGTTTCCCCTTGACCATCAGTGACTATTTAACGCGTCTTTTTTTAGAACGAGCGAACTCTCAAAGAAACTATGTGTATATCTTCTTCTGTAATTGTTTGTCGAGAAGAAAGTGGTGTTTCAGGTATGTAAATATCCCATATTATCGACATACTGTGTGTGTAACGATGACTGGTTCACATAATTATGATCAGATGTAGTCATTGGGCTATCGTCTTACTTGTTTCCCCAGCGATATCGACGATTGTGCTGCAGTACAAGCAATTTTGTGTCATGTTTTGAAGTAAATGATTTTGTCCTCTGATGTTATCTCTGAGATTTTGAGCTATTTCACAGTCCACAGCTTAGGGACTAGAGATACTGATTTGAATGCAAAATAAGTTGTTGCGACATGATTAATCCTGTGAATGAGGAAATATTTTTGGCTTAAATTTGCTTCCTGGGGAAAGTGAGTGTGGGGGTTGGGGGTATGTGTTTGGTACAAATACACTGTAGGTACACTAAATGAAAGTTATCATCTTATTCTCACAGTTCAATATCGATATAACTTAAGTTATTTACTTAAGGGCAAGTCTTCTGGTTGGATCAATCGAATAATTTCAATGTTTGAGTAGTGTATTTAGGGAGTGGAGTGTGTCAAGTTGTCATACTTCACAAAATGGAAGTCTAAGAAAGCAGAAATATGTTTAAGTGGACAGGATAGTTATGAAAACCTTTCAAATGTTGAATACAGACAACTACATTTGAATTGTGGCGAATGATTTCGAGTCATTGAACCGAAAGTCGTTGCCTGTTTTCTCCTAGCACATGGATGGCCCTGGCTACACGGTGTACATTTACCAATCCAACTCACACCTGGGGTCTGTAACTGCCTTCATTATCACGCTGTCATCATCTTGCCAACCTTATATTTGTTGCAGCTTAATTATTTTGCAGATAACATTAAGCGTTGAGGTAGTCGATGGTTATATAAGCGTAAAACTTGTCCTGACCGCTTCAGTTAGGATATAGGAGTAAAAGTTAGGGACTGTGGTAGATTGTAGTTCCATTTCAGTCTGTTTATTAGAAATGTCACAATGAAAGAGTATCATTTACTGGATAACGTTTCCGACGTAATTTATTGTCCATATTCATATTATGTGATGACTGTGGACAACAAATTATGTCCGAAACGTTGTCCACTAAAAGATACTGTTTTACTGTGTGACATTTCTAATAAACAGACTAAAATGGGATTCAGTTAGGAGAGTTATATCACATAGTAAGACAATACTATTTTTAGTAAATGGGATTTTGAGCTTAATTTATTGCCCATATTCATGTTAAGGTAGTTTTATATTTCTGCACGCTTTTCCACAGTAAATTTCTACAGTTAAACGACAATTTTGAACGGTCATATCTAGATTATTTTAATCTGTTTTGACCTGCATTATCCTAAGTTTGTTGCACAGGTGGTTTGATTTAGTTGTAGTTTTTATTAAGTGAATAATTGTCATACTATATCATTTCAAACATGAACTAATTGAGAGAATAATTGTTCTCACTGACTTCCTACTCATACTCTATAACTATGAGTCCATGAATGTTGTTTTTATGGTAGCCAGTGTAACACATGAGTGAGATTGTGGTTGAAACAGCCAGTATTCTGATAAGATATCGACAAAATTTCAATCAGCATTATCTAGGTTGATTCTGTGCATAACCAGTCGTCAGGTCAAGTAGCTAACCGGAATTTCGGTGGTCTGGTTGGTGGTCAATCCAGGTACGCCTCTGACAAGCTCAACCTCAAAATGGCGAAACGTTCGTTCATTGTTGATATCAATTTGACCCAGGTAGGGAGCACTGCTGGTCGAAATTATTGGTCTGCAACTACTCGCATGTCAGTCAGCAGTATATTTCATACAACTTTCAAGAATTACACTGTTTCGAGATTTAATTATTGTTTCTCAAGGTTATACTGGTTTGTGTTCACGCATGCACTAGGAGTATGATTTATGTTGTTAAATGCATAATAGAAGTTGGGCTTATGTACACGTTGGTGAGACCTCCATCGATTACTTATATTCAATGCATTGTGTCCTACTGACGTATTTGAAAAGCAATTATACGATTTCGTTGCATTAAATATCCTTTCTATGGTTGTTTTGATCCACCGTGTCACCATATCACCAGACAGGTCGCCTAGGAAATTCAGTCACACATGCAAAGTTTTCTTGCTGCATGGGATTTTTCGTTACTGTATCTGGTTGTGTATTTCTCTATGAAATCCCCAGAGTTATCATTTTCCAAAGATATTCTCTCCTGTTTGTCGATTTTTTCGTCCACTTTGTTCATCTTATTCTCAGATTAAGATATGGAACAAAGATTGTTTCCAAGCACTTGTCTTCAAGGCGAATATCTAGAAATGATGTGCTGTTCTCATTGTTCTCCATGACAAGTGCATCTACTAACTGGATATATGTTTGCACAGTGCAATAATAAAGAGATGTAGAGAATAAAATGAACTCATTTTATTTCACGGCTTTTGATCAGCTGTAAGCAGCCTACAAGTGAAACGAAGTATCAGTAGTGATAATGACATAATATACTGTAAATATGTAGAAATAGATGAAGATTTGAAATGCAGGATTATCAATAAGGTAGTGAGTCAAGTAAACACAAATCTTAGTCGAAATCAATGGGAGTCTGTATCTGGTGAGGTAGAAACTTCTGGAACTCTGTAAAGGGGTAGAGTTGGAGGTAGAAAAACAGACAGAAGTGTAAGACTTTTAAAAACTAATCTGTGCTAACTTCTCTATTGCTGACGACAAACATGTCGTCTGCATAGTCTCAATGATGCTCAAACCTCTTCAATGTATGTAATAATGAGTAGTTTCACGTGGTTGTTATCGACTATCTCTACAGACGGAACGTTGGTAAACAGTGAAGTGATATCTAAAGGTGACGTGGTTTCATCTGTTAAGTGCGTATTCTTAACCTTTTTGATAAATATCATTACTTATTTTGGACTGAAACTGTGGTCATTGAAGCGATAGCAGTGATTCTGTGCTAATCCGAACCATATGGGGAATTCTGCTACTATTAGGGTCAAAGTATGCGAAACAGGAGGACACCCATCTACAGAAGGTTGACCATGAATTTTGCTTATCATCTTGGTTTAATTATGAGCGATGAATTATGTTTGGAATGTCATCCAGTAAATCATGCTGCATCATTCACTGTGTGGTCTATCAAATAGGGGAACCCAATATGAAATTTCATTTATACCTTACAGTATTCATGGATTGATAACCTTAAGACTTAGGGAGAAAGTTTCAAATATTTAGTGGGGGTGTTTAAGGTATTAACCAGTTTTGTCAACGATTTATAGCATGGATTTAGTTTGTATTGGGGCATTGCCATTTATTTTTTCTGCTTAACCGTTTGGAAGGTGACTACTCACATGAGAATATTTTCTGCAAAATAGATTTCAAGGAAGTGGACTCTTCATCTTTAGTTCCTGGTGATGTGATTGAAATTCCGCGTAATGGATGCCTGGTTCATTGTGATGCCATTTTACTGACTGGAAACTGTATAGTGAATGAAAGCACACTGACCGGTAGGTTGCTTTGGTGATATTTCTCATAAGTGTTTGTTTGTTGACTCATATGCAAAAGTATGGAATACAGCTTTGGGATGTCCATCATTCCACTAATCTTATGAATTTCTCTTGGGGCTTTATGTGAATACTTTTCTTTCGCTTCATTGATTGACTGTTAATTATTGTAGGCTTTTTCACTCCTGTTTCTAATCTTTCCCCAAAGTTTACTGCTGAGAATAGAGCGTATGACAAATGGCCTTCAGTAGCATATGTGGTGGATATCCAGTTAATAGATATGAATGGCTATTAGACCGTGTTACTTCATCGATGTTAGATGAAAAAGAAATCGTTCCACTTTGAGCATATCTTGATGTGGGTAGTCCTGTTTACTTATGACTACCTAGGGAATGGTTTACTGTCCTGACGTCATCTAGTTAATACACAGACGACATTGTGGAATTACGTTGATGCCCTAAGAAGATTCTGGACCATTTGATGCACTTAACACATGTCATGCATTTGTCACCCGTCAAATGCAAAATTATGCTTCAGGAATGGTTTGCATAGACTCCCTGTTCGAGGGTAGGGAGTGAAGTGGTGGAATGCGTTGACCAATTCGCTTTCTTATGGGGTAAGTTGACGAGACAGCAGCGAAAGGCGCACTAAGTGTTTGGCAACCTTCGTCATATATCTGACTGGTGAAATGTCCAACTGGCAATTTACCTATAAATTAAAAAGTTATGAGGGGGAGCTAGTGATCCTGGATTGCAGGATAAAACTAAAAGAAGGTAGAAGTCTAGTCTATAGGAGACCTCCTTATTCATCCCGCTACATAGACTTGAAAGCAGCTGAAGTGGGTTTGGCATATGTGTGAGTAACAAGGCGAAAATGCTTACCAGCAGAACAGAGGATCCGATACGTAAGATACCTTGCGTCTTGGACAACTACTCACCCAAATTTATGAATAAATTCGTAAGAAATTGCAAGGAAAATATAAGCAGCAATGACAACACAAGTGTTTATAAAAATAATATTGACGGTGACACTGTGAAGGGAGAAATCAAAACCCTTACCGGACTACCTTGCCAGGAAGACACATCAAGGTCTTAGCAAGTCTTCTCAATAGGCTGTCAAGTGTGGCATCTTGAACCGATGCACCGGTGTGCGAGGTTCTATGCTAATTTTGTCAGTCAGTCGGTCAGTCTGTCTGTCTGTCTGTCTGTCAAATTCAGCGGATTCAGAAGCATGAAAGGTTATTTGTTTGCCCATATTCTAAGGTAAATGCTATTCTAGTATGAGAGTGTGTGTCATAAATGGAAGCAGAGGCATATATTCCATTTTAAAGACAGTTGTGATTCCGTGTTATAAGCAATTCATTCAACCTTGTGACTCTTTTATGCCACATTAAGGCAGCCTTAGCCATAACAGAATAGATGGAATTCACTTAATTGTTTGCCTCTTTTCTTACTGGAGATTGATGTAAAAGTCAACTAGATGCGGTGGAATAGGATGTTGTGTGTAAGGATTTCATTGAATGTCTTAAAAATACAACGCATGAAAGAATGTGAATGTTATCAGTTTCATTAGTGGCCAGATTACTTATCATTTAAAATCCAGTGCATTTGATTGCTTTTTCATCTTATCAACGATGTTGAACACATAGTGAATATTGTGTTTGTTGTGCTGAAAATATCAAGTGTTTTCTTCTTAAGGTGAAAGTGTTCCAGTTACGAAAGTCCCATTACCTGATTCACCGTCGAAGGATGACTTATTTGATATTAAACTGCATACTCGTCATATATTGTTTGCTGGCACAACTGTTATTCAAACAAGAAATTATGCAGATGAACGAGTGATGGCTGTTGTTGCACGTACTGGCTTTAATACAATCAAAGGTGAACTTGTCCGGTCGATACTGTTTCCGAAACCGTTGAAGTTCAAATTTACTCAAGATGCTTTCCGTTTCATTATTGCCTTATCTGTTCTCGCTGTAATTGGCTTGGCTTTTTCAATCTACCTAATGGTAAGAAGATATTTGGGTGGTTTAAGTTTACTCACTATTGTTAAGAGATGTTTGGTTTGACTACAAACGATGTATGTAAGTTTTGTTTATTGTATTTAATCACTGTCTAGTTAACTTAAGCGGTAAACACATTTCAGTAAGCAGTTTCTGAGCTCACATGTACCAGCTACATTAGTCAGTCCGTTAATCAATATCAACGTAATACGTGGTATCAGTTCGTTACGATTTAGGTTGCCACACATCACTTCAGTGCATCAAGATATAAGTTAATCAGATGAAAGATGAAGAAATGTAAATGTAATGGAGGTTATAGAAAGGCATGAACGGAGAGATGTTGTCATTGTTAAATTTCTCCTTCGTATAGATGATAACAGTAGTGCTGTTTATGATTGATGGGTTGTTGTGTAGGCTTTTAAATATTAGAAAATTTGGTACTATACACATGAGAGTTCTCAGCGAATTTGTCGATAGGATGCTGTCAGTGACTGTGTAGAAGTGAAATTCGAATAAACTGTGTTCGATCCATTGAAATTGATGTATGACAAACATATTTCTTGTAATAAACCTTTGTTTTTTAAACTCTTCTCAAAGGTTTTTTTTCGGTGCTTTATGCAAGGTAATGCATGTTTTTAATTAGATGATTCGATAGGTAATAAGAAGTATGAGCTAGTTTTGTTTTTTGGTAAGGTGATTGCCCTGCATAGTGTTGGAATTTTTCTGAGTGTTCATTTAATGGTTTATTCTGTTTTTTTTCCTCTTTCATCCAACTTTTGTATGATTATCTGTTTTTTAATCTTGCTTAGATATGTAGGTTTTGCGTGATAACTGTCACGTTTACTTATCTCAAAGTAGATGTGGTTTGATATTGTGACCAATGTTATCTGTTATTTTGTCACTAGTGTTGTTGTCTATACTGAGGTGGGATTGATTGATGCCCTGAATTTTTTCATTTTTTCTTTTGTGTATGTTAATTCAAGTTGCATCATTAAATCGTTGAGCTAAGAGGATGTAGCAACACTGGGAATGTTCTAACCTTTCGTTTAAGATTGCACACACTAATTCGCACGTATATGTTGTATGTATTGAATATGTCTTCCTGTGAATCAGAGCAATTTTGGTGACTACAATAAAAATACACTGTGTATGTATGTATGCATAATTTATTTGATGGTTTTCGGGTTCTCTGATCTCTTACTTATTGTTATTCTAGACAACATCTACAAACAATGAAGTGATTCACCTTAATGAATATCAAATCTCCAAGAGACCTTCTTGTTAATTTGACTTTCAATTTATTTGTTATTAAAGTTAGATAATTTTGTAGAGGAAGTGAAAATCTTCCCTTGAAATGATCACAACTTGATTGTATTCCATAAACAAGTTGACTATAGTTTATTTCTACTTTATGAATAACACTAGGTGACAATGAATCTATTGCATTTTGATGAATACTTCTCGTTTAGTTCTTGCCTATCAATTAATGACTACTGAGAAATAACAAACTGATAGGAATGTGTAAGGTCATAGGTATATGAATAGATCGTTTACAAGTGGAATTAAGTGTTCATATGAACTCAAAGAATATTTATTATGCATGGAGGGGAGATAATTGATGTTATGTGGAATGATGAAGTGAATCAATTCACGTGTATATCCTTTTCATGCTCCGTGTATATATATGTATATATTCTGAAAGCCATTGTTTATGTGTTTTATTTAATAGTCAGCTGATATATAATTCAATTCAGCTATTTGTGTAACTTTTAATGATTGATGGATAAAATTTGTAGAAGTCAGCTTTAACCGAGACACGTGAACATTCCTTTATTGAAATAAATAGATAGTTGAAATGATAAAATTGATTAAAGGTCGGATAAACTACTCGTTTCAGTTAGTGATAATGACAGGCAGACAGAGAGACTGAATCAACGTAGAGCCTCGCATACAAGTGCATCATTTCAACTCATTACACATCACAGTAACATGCGGAAAAGAAGGGGACAGAAAAGGAGTGATATGAATGTCGACAAAAGTGTATAGAAGTAGAACCAATTTAAAAATGAAGGTTAATGAAAACATTCAAGCTTTGGAAGATATGAAAGAGTGAATACATGCATCTTCGCTATTTTGACCGATTTTCAAATATTGATTCTTATGGTTTCGGGGACCCCAGTTAGATAGTCTGTACATTTCTACATGGCTTAGACCGACAGTCAGAGACTGCATGGATTGGTTTTATGACTTGGTCTTGCCACACAAAGCCTTCTTCCAATCTAATGAAGGAAATTCAAGATCGATCACCCACTTGTTTACTTATTATGATTGTCTGAATTTTCAATGTTGGTAGTTTTTAACTACTGAACAGAAAAATTGTGATATAAAGAGGAAAAAATAAATAAAAGTTCAGTAAAATATGAAAATCTTTTCCCGAAATTTTATTAACAGTATGCATTAGTGAATCATGTTTAAGGAATGCCCACACTATACAACAAAGTGTACATTTATTCATTGACAGATTTTTCCCCTTCGACCAGTATTTGAGATTATATCGTGTTTTTTTGTAGATTGAAACAAAAGAATCTTCTGCAACTGTGTTGACTTTCAGCTTCATGTCGTAAGATGAAATTGTTAGTCGATTTGCATTGACTTTTATTGAATCATACCGGAAGATAATGGCGTTGACATAAGCCGGCAATTCGTCTCCGCATACAGCTTATTCGTAAAGCTTCACAAGAGCATATGAATTGATATATTCACGTGGAAGTGGTCATCAATGGTGGTTTATTCTTTACCACTTAGTGACTAGTATAAATGACAGAAGATTCGTTTGTTCATAATTAATTAATATAGTAGACTAGTATTTGAGAATAAAGAAATTCCTACTTCATATATACATGTACTGTAATTTATTTACACATTGGAGAGTATTTAAGAGATGAATGATGTGAAACAATCTAAGCTGTTTGTGAAAGGCGAAAAGTTTCTATTTTCCCAAATTGACTTCGAAAACTGAGAGTTCATTGACAGTGAATCAGAATACAAGATACTTTATGAATTGGGCATAGAAATTAAGGATTGTTATCTACAAAATGACTGTGAATTATGTTCATGGGAAGCAAAAGTCTGTAGAGAACTACCAGCTAACTACCTCCACTATGATCATGTCGAGGTGATATTTACATAATGAAATTACCTCATGCTTATTTAAAGATAACTATTGATGTACAATGTGAGGATAAATGTTCGGAAAGAAAGACAGACAGACAGACAGACATAGAATCAACATAGAAATTCGCACACAAGGTCATCGGTTCAACTTGACACATGTTATAGTGATATACAAAGAACAGGTAGATATGAAAGTAGCCAGAGTTGTATGAGGGAATAAACGATTAGACGATAAATGAAAGCAGAAACACTCAAGTTTCAGAAGACGTTAAGGAGTGTATACATCTCGCCATTGTGACCGATTTTCAAACACTTCAGATATTGCCTTTTCACTTGTTTCATCTAAATTGAATGTTTCGTGATGAATGAATGATCGGTGAAGGAGGCTGTGGACACAGAGAATAGATTATATGGTGTTGTGTCTCAGTAGTTGAGAGAGGTGACTACCAACTATTGGATCACGGGTTCGAGCCCTGCTCGATCTACCGAGGTTTAGGTAACCATGTAGTATCAGTAGCTCTTACACAGTAGGTGTGGCTGATTGCCTGTTGCACGAATATGCTCAACGTAGTTGAATGAGTTTCTTATTTAGAGTAGAGTGTGCATTCATAAACTTAAGATATTAAAATATTCAATTTGTTAGCATCAGATACCGTTGTTACCTATTTTATGTGTTATTTCGAGCTCTGATTTCATCATCACTACCTATGCTAACTTGAGTGTTACACTATTATCATCATACAATCAGAATCATTTTCAGGTGGCATTCAACTCCTCTAAGGAAAAACAAATATACATATATACCTTGACATTATATCCAGCATCTACTGATCCATCATACAAACTGTTTGCCAAATTCACTGAAATACTTTTTACAGTTATTTCTTTGCATATTTGTAAAATGATATTCATTTTCAAAAAAGAAGCATATTTTCAGCTAGAAAGGTATATTTTTTGGCACCAAAGTCCATTGCACATCACCGACTTAAACGATAATAATAATAATGATAATGATAATAATAATGATAGTTAATACTCTTAGACGCCTAAAGATGATTGATGAGCATAAAAACTAGAAGTAAGACGAATTAATACAATTGTATCATTAGTTTTGTATGCTTTTTCTTTTTCGGTGTTCAGGTAAAAGCCAATGTTGGTGTCGGTGATATGGTCGTACGTGCACTGGATCTTGTCACTATAGTAGTCCCACCAGCATTACCTGTTGTAATGACTGTTGGCATTGTATTCGCTCAACGACGTCTACGATCTCAAGGGATATTTTGTGTTAATCCTAGTGTGATTAATGTCTGTGGAGTGATTAATGTTGCTTGCTTTGACAAGGCAAGTTTCGTTTTACATTTTTCTATTATTATTGTTATTATTATTATTCCCTCGGGTTCCTAGTGGAAGAGAGGGCTTCAGTAGCTCTGCACCATTTCACTCTGTTCTCTGCAGTCTTTTCAACATGGCGCCACCACTGCCCACAAGCTTTCGTTTCTTTCTCACACCATCTCCTTCATATCACCGTTGCCTCGGACGTCCAACTCATTTCCCATTTGGGCTGCGCTGGATGGCATGGCCTGGCCTGGCACGTGATGTCCCCAATCGATATTCTTAGTGTATGTTTAGTCCGACAAATCTCCACTTTCGTCTACATATTTGTTGGGCGACGGGTTCTTGGTTGGTTCGTTGCCAGCCAGCCAGCCAGCCAGCCAGCCAGCCAGCCAGCCGGCCAGAGTTCCTTGTTGCTTATTCTTATTATTCTACCCATCTGATCTTCAGTATCGAACTAGCGTAGGGGGCAGTTGTTGATGAGTGTCTGTAGTTTGTTGTAAATGCTTTTCGTAACGCTCCAAGTCTCTCAACCATCACATTGAATCACCGACTTACTTGACTGAATTAGTGTTGAAAATCCAGGTCTTGTTCATGCCTTATGCTGAGTGCAGTGCAGTGCAGTGCAGTGCAGTGCAGCGTAGTAGATCTGCACACTGGTTTCAGATTAATGAAGGGAAGCCTATCTTACTGTCTTCCTGATGCTGGCTTTGACATCGTCATTTGTGCCACCACCTGTAGTTGAAACGATGCTGTTTAGGCAGGTTGGTGAAAGAGAGACTACATGGTTTAGGTTTCTCCCGTTGATGGTGATTGGTGTTTGTTGTTGTTGGTTGGATATCTTCATCACCTCTGTCTTCTCTATGTCCATCTGAAGGAAGTCCTGTCTTCCTTGGCTGCCTCTTTTGTCAACTTGTTAGTCTTTGTCTGTAGATCTTGGAGTTTGTGGAACATGAGATATTGGACATAAATCATCATCGGTGAAATCCAAATCTTCTTGTGGGATCTTTTCATCGGTCCAGCTAGCGTATGCCCATCTTCTCGTTCCTCACAGTTGTCTGTTGCATGATTCCAGTCGAGTCGAGTCGAGTCGAGCCGACTACAATCAGGAAGATCATCGGTGATAGTAGGTAGGAGGCTTGTTTCACTCCTGTCTTCACTTCAAAGTAATCACTGAGCTTTCGATTGTGGACCACCTGGCATGTAGCATCCTCATATAACACATAGTTGTTAAATGAGGTGGATAAAGGTTTCTGGTATTCCATAGTGTTGAAGCAGTTGCCAAATTACTTCTCAACCGACGCTGTCGAAGACCTTTTCAAAGTCGAATAAGTTGAGGCATAGAGTTGACTGCCATTCTACGCTCTGTTCTATGCTGATGCGTAGCGTAACGTTGTAATTTGATTCGCAGATGATCTGTTCTTGCTGAAGCCAGCTAGCCTGTTCCCGTCGTAATTTTGAGTCGAGCGCATCTTTTAGTCTCTCCAGGATGATGCGGCTTAATATTTTGCTTGGGGTCGACAGGAGCATGATTTGGCGTCACTTCTACCAAAAACTTTAAAGGTTTGACCAGGTAACCGTTCTTCCAATCAACCAGCAGGTACCTTTCCTTCCTTCTTAACCTTCTGGAGAAGTGGTGTGAGCGCGTCCGCTGCTGATGTCTTGGCGTCTGTTTTCAGTGCTTCCATCTGGTCCTACTGCTTTCTCAGATTTCAGCAACTTTATGGTGTTCGGGACTTCTGCTTTTGTTGGAGGGCTTGTGTTCACTGGTAATTTTGTGGCTGCTGGTGGTATTTCTGGACGAGTTGCAGGTGGTGGTTGACTCAAGAGTTTTTGGAAGTAGTCAGCCTATTGTTTCTCCTCTTTGGTAACTAGATTTCCTTCACTGTCTTTCATTGGTTTCATCTGATTTGACCTCTTTCTGGAGGATAACCTGGTTATTTGATATGGTGTCATCAGGTCTCTATCTCTCCTACTAGCAGCCTATTCTGCTTCACTTGCCAGTGTGTCGTAGAAGTGTCTTTTGTCTTTGCGCGCACTCTTCTTCACTTCTTTGTTCAGTGTTTCACAGGTTGCACTCACTTCCTCTTTTCATTGTTCATCCTTGCACTGCACTGATTCGTCTTTTGTTTCACCATCTTTTTCTCCTCTATCAGCTTCCACGTATCCGTCGAGATCCATTCCTTTTTCCTGTTTCTTCGTTATTCCTATCACAGTTATGCAGGTTTCCTTCCACGTCTCTTTCACAGAGTTCCAATGTTCTTCCACACAGGTTTCTTCAGAGATGTTGCTCAATATCTCCCATTTTGTCCTGATGACTGACGTGAAGATGTCCTTTGTAGTTTCGTCCTTCACTTTCTATTCTGGATGTTGAATTTGAACTGTGGTCATCGATGAGCAGCTGTTTTGAAGGCTTTCAACTTGATTTGGAAGGTAGATTGCTTGCACTAGATAGTGAGTGGTGTGAACCTACATCTGCTCCTCTTCTTGACCTTGTGTCCAGTAGGCTGGCTGCGTCTCCATTTTCTTGAGATTGAGATGAAGTCGATCTGATTTTTAGTGTGTCCATCCGGTGAAATCTGTCACTGCCTTGTGAATATCCTTGTGTTTGTACACACTGCCTCCAATCACCAAATCGTAGAATGCGCAACCAGTCCTCCATCCTCATTTATTTCACCTAGTAACTCTTTTGAGTGTTTCTTTTGGGGTTACTTACTGTATCACATACTAACTGCATAGTAATTTAGATTTTTTGAAATATGTTTACAATATGCAATATTTTCATCAATTTTAGCTGTTCAACAGTCTTCTTATTTACGTAGAGTAAATCGTGATGGTACACGTGTCCACAGTAGAATTAATTTGTGTTTTCAACCTTCTTGAAGGTCACCTTATCATCTGTTAGATATAAAATACGAATACGTACAATAAGAACTGCTGCTAACCTTGATTTACTTTAATGTATGATCGTAGCCCAGTAACTACTACGTTGTGTTATCTTTACATTCAACTCAGTTTCAAACCTTAAACCAAAATATTTTGTGTAGATTTTGCATGGGTTAACATAACATAAAAAAAATGTTTGGAGAAAAGTATAATTATCAATTACTGTGAATGCCTAATGCACTTCAGGGGAAATATCCAAACTTTCACTTCATCTTCATTTCAGGCAGTGTTGATCAACATATAAAGCCTGATATTATTGTGTAGATATCCAAATTGCCATGTCAGTCTATATCTGTTTGGTGACTAGCAGTGGAATCCAGTGCACGTGTTCCGTCTTATTTGAGACTCATCAAGTAGATACACTTGCACTTCAGTGAGTGATGTTGTTCCAGTCGAGACTAGAACCCAGCGCCGATCACATCAAATACCGAAGGGAAGGCACGAAAGCCACCTCTTCTGCACGGGGTAGGATTTGTTGTTGTTTGATACCTGTTATCACTGGTTGCCATAACAGCCCATCAAGATACACATGGATGAAAGGCTCGACAAAGAAATGGACGGAAATAGTCATAAGTTACGAAAAGACATCAGTACCTACATGCTCTAGTGTTATTAGTTGAAATTGTTTGGGGTCTGTACACAAAGTATGCGCCGATTCGTTTGTCTTTGGGAACACACACATACACAACCACATATTGTCCTGGTTGCTAACATGAGCTTTTATAAGTACTGTAGCTTTTATTCACCATTACAATGGTGATTGTGGGTGGGTGGGTATACGCCTCCATAAATGGTATTAACAGTGGGGAATTGTCTTGTGATTATATTTTTATGGATTGAAGTTACTTCTCTGATTTTTTGATGGATTGTGTGTGTGTGTGTGAGAGAGAGAGAGAGAGAGAGACATATACTTTTCTTTACAGATTTCTAGTTGCATTTCCATCATTTTCTGTATATACTAATTTGTGTTGATGACAAACTGTACTTGTTTTGTTTCATTGTCTCCCTCTCTTGAAGTACCTGTTCCTCACTGTACATCATAGTGTACAAAGGATAACGCACTTCTTTCTCTGACCTGAATAATTTGTATTTCTTTCATTTCGCTTGTTGAGGCTTGATTCATCATGTAGTGCCTTCAGTCGTTACATAGTCTCGTCGATCAATGTTCCGTTTTTTATTAGATGTGTAAAATTGATAACCATTTTGGTAGGTTCTTGGTGAATCGTTCACTGGGTTTCGCCTTTTTTGTGATGTTTATTTCCAATTAGTATTTGTAGTATGTGGTTGTAAGTTCGTTGCAGGTATCAGGATAAAAACAGTCGGCAGGTTAAGTGATGGATTCTGTTGATAACACTTTTATTTGGGGGGAGGGTGTGTGTATGGTTACGGTTGACTGACAGGATTAATCGTCATATCCATTAGTAGCAATCAATCTTGTCTTCCTTCTAAATAGAATAACTACTTCAATGTTATCATGCCCACCCTAGGATAGTGATAATTGGTAAGAAGAGTTGAGTAAGTAGCTTTACTGTAGCTTTATGCATTCCTTTAGTTGATGATCAGTGAGGTTTTGGACTTTGAATGTTGCATGATGGCATAGTTGTTTTGTGATTATTTTGCAATTCCACTTTATGTATATTGTATATTGTTGATTGAGTGTAAATTTTCATTGGGGATTTGTTGAATTGATTTGTTTGTAGACTGGTACTTTAACAGAAGACGGTTTGGATATGTGGGGTATCATTCCGTATGAAGATGGTTTATTCGGTGATCCAGAATTAGAGCCAGCGAAGTTAGATAATGGTCCACTAATGGAGTGTTTAGCGACTTGTCATTCACTGACATTAATTGAAGGAGTTCTCTCCGGTGATCCTCTTGACTTAAAAATGTTTCAGTCAACTAAATGGGTAAGAATAATGAACCATGCAAACTATTTATCTCATAATCATTTAATTGTTTCACTTGTTTGTTGACTTGGTATGAAATGTCACTTTTAACAATATACAGATATGAGTTACAGAAAATGTTGGACGTGATGGATGTTCATGTAGCTGGACCGTTTTTTTTTGTTGCTAAAATCGTTTGTCATTAGTTTGATATTGAGTTTCTTTTTAATTGGAAGGTTTTTAGAAATTTATTTATTGGTTGATCTCAGGTTGGTGTTCATCATGGACTGATATCAGTTGAAATCACTAGAAACTTGAGAGCATAGGAAAGGCGTTTCATCGTAGTATGGGATTTCTTAGTCATGTGCACACGTAGCCTGACTAAGGATAAAATCCGGGACCTTCAGGTTCCACGGCAAACATGTTACCATCGAGTCACTCGACCAGATTCCAGTGGTCTATATTTTTCCTACTTGTGTCAGTTCAAGAAATAGCGCGACCTCCATCTACTACCGTTGTTGAGTAACTGTCCTCACATCTGACTTGGTTGCCCCCCACCCGGTCACTACTTATAAGAGTTTCGGGAATCTCATCTCGAAGCAAGTCACTAACGAGCACTAGACAGTAATTCAATTTGGAGGTTTGTGGGGATTTATTTATTGGTCTCAAATTGACACTCATCACAGAGTTTAATTTAAACTGTGATTTACAGGAAGTCACGTTTTGTGTTACAATGAATTGTATCCACTCTGTGATGGTGAATAATAAAATGATTATCAATAAATGAAGTAATTAATTGAAAATCATCGGAAAGAGGAAACGATAACTACCGGACACTGAAGATGCTGTATAGTGATTGCACTATTCACTTGGATATAGTATCTTGTCTATCTACCCGTTGTTCCGATCTGTTTTGATTGTCTTCGCTATTTACTTTTCTTATTGATTTATGTAAGAAAACAACACGGATACCAAGAAATACGCAAAGAAGTGGTATGTGTAATTCATCTAGCAGACACAAGTTTGAATGAAGGTTGTCTGAGCAAAGTAGGCTGAGCGAGTCATTTGTATGCTCTTTCTTACCGTGTATCCTGAAGTGTTTGAGTTATGAGTGATAGTCGGCAGTTGCCTGCGTTGACGTTCAGCGCTATCAGGAACTCGATTACGTTGCAAGTGTTCAAGGTGGCTAGACCAATTTTTAACACCAGTCTAAAGTTTTTCGCTGTGGAATTTCTCTCATGCTCAGTGTGTATGCTCAATCTAAGATTACAGATATGCGTGCATGCATCAATGATGTAAAGTCAAGGTGATGTCATTGTCTGGAGAGTGAATAATATTATATCGCACATACAAGCTATTGCTGCACCTCGCGTTTATGCATTCGCAATAGTTCTTGCCCCTTGGCATTCAGATAAATGAAAGTCTTCATTTGAAATGCAAGATTAGAACACTTCGATATTGCCTATTTTGAATCGTCTTCCTGATTATAATAGATAAACAGACAGACCAACATAGAACCTGGAAGGAAATCGTGTCACTTCAAGTTGCAGTTGAATGTTAGGAAGTGGTGGATAGAAAACGGTGGCATGAAAGTAGTCAGAAGTGTATATGACGTGAGGGTTGATAAAATATTCAATATTCATATGGATGACAAGGAACGCACAGAATGTATTATTTATAATGAGACTTCTGCGATATCGACATCCTTTGTCAATGGATAAGACTGTGCACTATCAAGAAGCCACATATTATTGTTTATTCCTTAATTTCACCACATCCTTCCTCCAATTTCAATGAAATTCTTTTCATTCCTTTGCATGTCAAATACTCATTCAATCACAAAGCCATACGGTTAGTGTGATTACTTGCCATTTACGACTGATGTACCAATGTTTCAAAAATGCGAACTGCTACTCAATATCGGTTTATGCATAGGACGATACCATTCTTAGTTGTGCTGCGTTCTCCAAGCTGGGTAGTTTGATCATGAAGGTTTCATTATCTTCCTCGACACCATCATCAACACTAACTTCAATGTGAAGTGATCTGTTTGTGTATGTGTGTGTGTGTGTGTGTGTGTGCAGTAGCTTGCCCTGATGAAGTAGCTTGTGATTGGGTGTCATGTCATTGACGGCATAGATTTTCTTGTTTGCTGTTTCCCTACTCGACCTCTCACAATATTCAATCCGTTCTGCATGGAATGACTGAAAAGCAAGTATGTCGAGATGTTTTGAGTAGTGATCGCTTTTATTAGTACTCCGCTTTCACTTCTCTATGGAACCAAGTCAACAGAATATGGAGAATAAGAATGCTGAATTCAGAGTTTTTGAGTAACTACCCTTTCTTTTTTACCTGGATGATTTTTATTTTCTTAGGAATTCATTGAAGAGGCTTCTGATTATTGTAAATTTGAAATGGCTGTTCCCGCTATCGTGCGTCCACCGAATGCCTACAGTTTAAAAGATGAAGTTTCTCAGAAAATTGAAAATGATGTGAGTTAAATACATTGTGCACTGCTCTCATTATGGATGTATTTATTTACTGACACGTAGATGATATTATTAACACTATCGGTAGTTAGCATGATTGAACTTTGTGTTGGACTAGTGTTGTTGATCCAAGTAATGTGGGAATGTTGTACAACATCTTAGGCTTCCCCCCTTCTGCCTTCAATTTGATGCTCTATCCTGTCCTATAAAATACAATGTATTCTGTGTTGAATTTCTGAGGAATGGTATCCTACTTGGGTATAGTTTCGTCGACTTATGGTAGGAGAGTATAGCATTTTCTGTTAAATAATTTTTTAGAAATCCCGTCTGTAACACACGTTGAATGTGAGTTTGAAAATGTTGACATTTCACTGTGCTTATCGATATTAGTGTCCGAATGATGTTAGTTCCGAGACTGGCGTTCACTAAAGTGTAAAAATGATAATTGGATAGACAGCAGTTCAATTGTTGAGTTGAATTATTCAGAAGATGGAATGGGATTATATTAAGTCGCTGGTGCATTCATTGTATTGCTACCGCACTGTAAAAAGGTATGCTGAAATTACTAAGGTTGGTCATCGGATTTTGTTTGAATGAAACAGTCAAGATATTTTGCGTGTTAGCATAGTTATTGTAAATGGGGTAGCTTGAAAGTCACTATTTCGAACAGGTAGCGAGTTCTTTCCATGAATAATCATTCCCCATTATATTTCTGTAATACTATTGTACACCGTTTTATCGTGCACATATTCAGAATTTCCCGAAGATTCCATGTCCACCTGTTAAAGTGAGTTGAACATCTTTGATTTTCATGTTCTTAGTGAATCTCTTACTCCAATTTCCGGTGTCATGCTGGACCAAGCAAAGCCACCTTTTAATCTATGGATCTGTCTTCACTAAACATTGTTATGGCTTCTTCTTGTAGCATCTTCTGGTTTCGAATGTTTCACGTTCATTGAAAATGGTAGTTTAATTCTCTCTATATTTATCACATGTAGGATCGTACATAAAGTCTTCAGATGTTTCTTTTAGTATGTGCACTACAGTTTACATTCAGCGGACAAGATAATTCATATACATATGACAAGTGGCACTGGATAGTTGAAAGTCACTACATGGAGATAGGTGTGACAAACTGGATTTTCCAGTTTTCAGAAGTGTGAAATTCTCTAGGGGTCCTCACTTTTATTGTCTGACATTGTAGTCTATGTGATTTTTATGCTTCTCAGTCAGTTAGTCAGCCAATATCAACAATAGAATTGGCTTCAATACACACCGAGCCAAGTTGGTGCACGTCAAGATGAAAGGCATATTAAAGAGAACAAGAAGGAGTGAAACACTTCTGAAATTCTGCATAACAATTAATCTGACGATGATGTGTGAATACATCTGTGCAACTGGAATCAGTTCTGAGCCATATCACCTTGAGTGGCCAATCACGGATTTCAGTTGTCACGAGGAGTCTACATTTCTCCACACTCCTCAGACTGACAATCGAAGATCTACTTTAGTTTATATTGTGGTAAGAGGTATGCGGCGAATAGGTCTGCGTAATACATGTCTCAACCATGTCAATCGATGAAGAATTACAGGGTGATCAACTGGCTTTCTTTCTCCACCTAGGATTGTGCTGCTGACTTATGCGTTACTGTTTTCTGGCTTCCATGACTGACCAGTGCCACGAAGATAAGGATAGTCAAACAGCTAAAGTGTTTTGTGTTCTGCACTAAATGACCATGTTTCACAGCTATGTAGTATAACGAGGCTAACTGCACTCGACCCCTAATGGACAAGTGAATATCACGATGGCACCATGAATAACGTGAATTGGCGAAGGGCAAACGAGTCTTTGGTATGTATAGGGAGATTTCACCAGTTACTCACACACCGTGGCTGGTATGTCTTTCCAAGTAAGTAAAGTGGTCAGTGAGCTGGATCAGTTCACTGACTATTACTTGGATGATACCCGAACGCGAAATAGTTCTGGAGCAACAGTTTGTATTTTGGTTGTCGAGAAACGCATCGCGAACATTCTCAAGTTGTCAGTCAAAGTGTTGAGAAGACACTGCATCCTGTTATGATCTACACCTAGCAGGGCTATGTAATCTGGGTGTTGTAGATCGACCAAGGAGTCTCCTACGATTAGATTAATCCTGTGAAGTCAGACGACGAGAGAGAGACCCATAGTGTGTCTATGATGAAGTTGAAGTAAAGGAGTGAGTGGACATCCTTGACAGACACCATTCGATAAGCACAACTCACCATAGATTCTGACACACCCACGGGTGTTTGAATACAGAGAGTGATACAGACAGAGTGATGTACTTACTCGATACTTTTTTCAGCGAGAGACATTGCTATAGGAGGTTTTGGTTGACTGAGTCGAATGCTGCCTTTAGGTCGATAAATATAGCCAGTGTTGGGGTTGGGAAGTATGCCTGTGTTTGAGAACCTGGTGGAGGGTTGATATACAGTCACGATCAGGTCTGGAGCCTTCCTGGTTTCCTAGCGTTTACTGTTTCAGCACTGCGCTCAGGCATCGAATGATTATGAAATCTAGAATGCTGGAGAATATATTCGTTAGGCTGGTCTTTCTATGGTTGTCACAAGGGACTTCTCACCATTCCTGAAGACTTGGACAATGAGTGATTGAAGCAAGTCAGAAGGGATCATATCTGACTTCCCTTGCTTTGGTTAACACTTCAGTTAGTTTGACCAATAATTCTCTACGGCCGTCCTTAAATACCCCTGTGTTAGTGTCCTCTTCAGGATTTGACTGGATAGCGGGAAATGGGATATTAGCTGAAGACCAGTTGAACTGTTCCTTGAAGTTTTCCACCTGTCATTTCAGTCATCTCGTTGGGGAGTGAATCGCAAACCTAACCTTCTTTGCTGTAGCCTCACTTGCACACTATGACAGACTCAGATATCGTCATCGTAGCAGCTGATATAACCGGGTGGCGTTCTAAGATATGGTACTTCGCATTAGTGGATGGAAAATGCAGTCAATAAATTCAGAAATTGTAGAGTTATACAATAGCGAAGAAATAAAGTAAGTAGAAGTGTATGCTACTACAGTCCGGTGAAGAAAAAGGATATGAATGCATATGCGCTACCATGTTCAGGCTCGAATAATTTTACCTAAAGTCTCCTCCCACTGGTTTCAGTTTTATTGCAAGCCTAAGACTTCTAATGTTTCCAGTGGGGAGTTGTCAACTGTCTGTGCTCCTCTGTCAGTAATTATTTTGTGAGACACTAGCGGGGAGTCTGTTGACCCGACAGCTCGTGTCCTGGACTTACTACCCTTAGTACTTTTTAAATCGATTGGAATTCAAGCAACAGTGTTCTTGGGCGTCGACTAAGGTTCACAACTACATTAAGCAACTGGCTGCACGCATCTCATATTCTGTGCATAATGCATATGTTACTCACATTTTGATTTCACAGCATAGAGTTGGTTGTAAGAAGGTAGTGGCTATGAAATATCTTGAGTTTGACCAAATCCTTTACCTTTCATCATCATGTTTTAGAAGCACATAATCACTATTGTTCAAATATATTTGACTCTTAGGAGGCAGTGGAATATCTTACCACGGCGAATAGTGTTGGCCAAAATACTTTTGGAATAGACAGTACCTTGTGTTTGTTGTTATATGGCACAGTAGTGTTAAAATCTAAAGTTTTCATCTTTGATGTCGTTGAAAATGTAAACTTTTTAGTGTTGAATGTAGATGCTAACCTAAATAAGTTGGTTATCATCTGAGTTACTTGTTAGATGTGAGTGCCGTTACATAATCCTTGTGGACTTCTACAACGATGGATTTATTTTCCATGTATTACTGTTGATATCACCTGACTTTGTAATATTTTTTATCTTCATGAAACGTTTCATAGCTCCTGCATTCTACACTTCATCTATTAGTAACTACACCTAAGAGTTTGTAATCATATTTGCGGTGTATCACAAGTGATAGACTTGAATTAAAACTGAAAATAATTGGATGTTTTTCACGTGGATTATTCATGCATGTAAAGAGAAGAGAAAACACTTGTTGTTTCGTGAAGCATACTTTGTTGCTATGGTGACTTTGAGTTGAGTATTACAAGTTTCACGTTGTCTTACGCATAATCTTTTATTACCTAATCGACTTCACTTTTCGTTTTATTGTTTGAATCGGTTTTTCATGGGGGAAAAAACAAATAAAATCGTCAACTTGTCCAGGATATTCCTTATGAAGTTGGTATTTTACGCCAGTTCCCATTCAGTTCATCATTACAACGTATGTCAGTAATTACGCGTGCACTCAATCAAAACCACTTCAGCATATACACTAAAGGTGCACCGGAGACAATTGAACTACTTTGCAGATGTGATACTAGTAAGTGACTGGTTTACTTATTACTTACTTATATCCTATTCTATACATTGGAGAATTTTTCTTTGGAAACTTAAGGTAGAATTTGAACAAGAACGAAAACAAGAAGAAGAAGAAGAAGAAGAGAAGAAGAAGAAGAAGCAGTTAGCGAAATGAAATCACTTCGTTCTAGATTTACGACAACAAGTCTAAAGTTACAATGATTGAATCAAGTTGACTAATTACTATTGAAATCTGAGGTAGTTGTGTATGTTGTCGTGGGAAGCGAAGTTCACAAAATGGACTGAAATCACTAACTCTTATAAGTTGACAAAATGAAATCAAGAAGTATTGGAACAAAATGAATGAGAGCGTGTAAAGATAGAGGCTACCTTGACTTGGTGGTTGGGCTTGTATATCACAATGATCCAACGAGGTACACTGGCTGTAACGCTTGTTTCCTCGAGGTCCTACCATGCGAGAAAGGTCTGTTGGGTAGTGGTAAGAGGAAAAGCAGTTATCGTTGTAGTGTAAGTTACTACACTATGACGGGGATTTGAGGAGGAGGTGGTACTGCTGCTAGTTGGATGGGATATGAAGGTAGTAAAGTGTTCCCTTTGAATGACCAGCCGGGATATGTCTGTCAACCGCCTGCACACTTCCACTAATACACAAGACTCACTCAAACAAATCTATCGTCCTCAACTGTGTCTCTTTTTTTGTCTTCACCTTCAGTGGTTGAACACTCTTGGTGATATGGTTAAAAACCGATCACAATGATACAGATGTATTCGCTCTCCAATATCTTCAAAAGCTTGATTATTTTGACTAACTTTCATTTTCAGTTTCCTGTCTACTATAATATCAGTCTCTTCTATCTACTTGTTATTTGCATGCTACTGTGAAGTGTGACAACTTAAACCGACACAGTTTTATGCGACATTCTGTGCTAATTTCATCTGTCTGTCTGTGTGTCAATAAAGAAGATGGAATATGAGGAAGACAATAATACAGAGGTCTAACTTAGAATTTTCCACAACTGTGTATGAGTTAGGTTAATTAGTGTCAACATTGTACCTTCCCTACTGCGTAATGGTCTTTCAACTATTCTGAGACGGAATTCACTTTTATAAATGTATCAGTATATTTCTTTATATTTCATCAAGATTGTCGTTGATGTGGTAGTTCCTTTGTTTTTGTCAGGGTTAGTAAGACGATGTGTAGCCTTGAGTCTGATGTCTTTCTTATCTGAGATTGTATGCCAGTATGCAGAGTGTAAATCTGTCTAGTGGAGTGACATCACTGCCGTGTCGCCTGTTTGCAAAATCCAACAACCTTGTAGTAGTATCTCACTGGTCAAAAATGTATCAGGAGAGAGATGTACAGATTTTGGACGACATTTTCATTGTTTCCAATAAAAGGATTTCATTTATGATCACAAAATTCATTATTGTAGAACATTATCGTTTTAACTTTATCACTAGTACTTGTATTCTGCCTCTATATGGTGATTGCTTTTGTCTGAGTAATTACACCTATTGAAGTTGGGGGTTTGTGGTAATTTAGAGATTTTTCAAGTTGGCATTCATCATGGACTGACATTAGTTGGAGGAACATTGGAAACGTGGGAGCACTGGACAGCTGTTCCGTCCTAGTATGGGACTCTTCAGCAGTGGGGGTACCTATGACTCCACCAGGGATTGGACCCGCAACCTTCAACTTGAGTGACCAGCACGTTACCACCATTGAGCCACTGGGTCGGAATCTAATGGTTCATAATATTTCCAACTTCTGTCAGTTTACGACATAGGACGACCATCACCCGATGTCATCGTTGAGTATTTGTCCTCACGACCACCAGGTTTACCCCACTGGTCACGACTGGAATGTTCTCCCAATTGATGTCAGTCCATGATGAATACCAACTTGAAAAGTTACACCTATAGTTTCTTTTTCGAAGAAATATTCATTGCTGTTAGTGGAAATGTAGTCAAGATTGTTGTATAGTTTAGTCTATAAAAGTGTACACTATCTTTTCAGTGACATCACTGTTGTCCGACTAGAATGCAACTTATGTCCACGAACCGCGAACCTTATCGAAACAAGCATCCAGTGTGCAGATTACTCTGAGGTTAAATCATTGTGGACAATATAGGTCTTGCCTAGTCAGGTGTGTGGAACTGTGGTTCATTGATTTAGGGAGATGACTTTTAACCAATGAGATATGGTTTCGAACCCCACTGCACGTGACAAGGTTTAGGCGCAGTCAAGTAGTAAACATCTTTAGCCCTTACATAATAGGTATGTTTCACTGTCTACTGCAAGAATGTATACAAGGTTGTCAAGTGGATTTTGATTCTCGATTCGAATATTCATCTGTCGACCAGCAATGGTGTAACTTCGTATGCCGAGTGAGTTAGACAGTTATCGACATTCACATGGAAATAGCCTTTGTATGCTACATAGATTGAAGAAATGTAAATTTCTGTTGGATATAACTCGTATTACATATACACTGATTGGGAATGTATTGAAATGTGTTCATTTGTATTATTGACTGACACCTTGAATTGTTAACATTCATATAACCGGTTGTCGTCTTGGATGGTGTTGAATTATTTTCTACTTAGTGTGTCATTATAACCAACCATCATTCAAGTTCAATTTATATTTGAGATTATTGTTCACTGTTTATAACTAATCTTAAGGTGTGATATTATTATTATTATATCTCACCAGTATTATTATTATTATTAATCACGTATGAACAATTTCGGTCAAAGTTCATATTCATATTCTGTATATGTATGTATAATTGAATGTGTAGTTAATGTTGACAAGTTTATTGATCTCGTTAGTGCGAAACAGTATGACAAGTTTTTAATTTCCGATATCCTTGAGTGTTACATTTGACCAGTTGTTGATAATTTTTTTCTACCAATGACTGTGCAATCTGTGATCGTGTTAGCTAGAGTAGTGCTCTGCGGTGAGTGACTGTTAGTTAACTAATCAACTTCCTTAATACATTTGTTGTTATTATGTGATGAGTCGAGTGGACTGTTCATAATGGATACTCATACTATTGAAGAATAGGTCTAATTGAAATAGTGGGGAATGTTTTTAACTGAGGTGGATGGTCGTGGTTGTATTGTGTTCTCTGAGCTGGGTTGTTTCATCGTCTTTCTAGACGATATCATCAGCAATAGCTTCAGTGAGAAGTGTGAAGACTTCATACAGAAGTTGGTGCTGATGATGTCGTCTAGAAGGATGATGAAACAACCCAGCTCAGAGAACACAATACAACCAAGAATAGGTCTAATGGCAATGAAACCTTCTACTAACTAAAATTGGACTTGCTATAACTCTGTTGTAGTAAATAATTTTATCAATTTATAAACATTGTTTAACCTTCATATATCTGCCTCATAATTCTTTGCATTTCATGTTATACAATTACTGCCAACATAGCTAGCTAGCTCATTATATTGTCTAGGACAGTTAAATGGTTTAATACTGTTAGGCGAGTCCACAATGTAATGCGAACTTTGAGAGTAAATTTCCTTCCAGTACAATACGTCGTTTCATGTACAGCATTCCTTGTTGCTCAGTCATTTTAATATTGATGGTGGAGAGTGGCTAGCAGTAGAAGGCAGGATACACACTTGGTTTTATTTCGGACTCATTAGGTGGATGTGCCTGGCTGCTGGTGAGTGATGTCCCCCGAAAACTCGAATCCAGGACCAGTCACTTCAAGCGTCAGAGTGTTATCGACTAAGCCAGTGAGGCACGATAGCCACTTATTTTACTTTCAGTCACCACTCCGTACCAATAATACCACGTTGCCAAAGCACGACTATTTCAAATAGTTTCGTCAACAATCAATATGATGCTCCTGCTCCTCCTCACTAATTCTTCTCAATTTAGATTAGGATAAAAAAAGCCCTGACTGGGCAGCAAGGAATATTTATGTGTGTATCATAGCTGGACAAACCTCGTTGACGACTTAAGAGAAATTAAAACTGGGTCAAATGGTGGATCTCGTTGGTCTGCTGATAAAATACCGGAGTGGTAACTGCGGAGGTTGCTGGTTCGAATCTTGCAACGATCCAAGTTTCCATTTCATCTTCATCTTCATCATCAACCATCGGTTCTGCATCAAAAACTGATTGCATTCATTCCTTTCTTTTTTAGGTAGTTGATGCGCATTATAACCTCGCCTGGTTAACTAGTTTACTAGTTACTAGCCGGTCCTAAGCCCGGGTAAAGAGGGAAGGTTGGGCATAGGGCTAGCAACCCTACCCCGTAAAACAAATCTAACCGCTAAAGAAACTTCAAAGCACAAACAAAATATAAAAAATGAAAACAAACTTATTCCCCGCTGGAATCGGAGAGGCGAAATGACGCCAGTTGGTGAAAGCCTTCGGGAAGCCAATTGGCCGATGTGTCTTCTCTCGATGAAAGCGAAAGTAAACGTGGGGACATGGAATGTCCGCACGATGTTTGAACCCAGTAAGGCAGCCCAGATTGCAAGGGAGATGAGAAGGTATAACATCGAAGTGCTTGGGATTTGCGAAAGCAGATGGAATGGGAGTGGACTCTCCAAACTGTCAACTGGAGAATCAATAATCTACTCCGGTCACCCAGACGCCAACCACGAGCACACTGAGGGAGTGGCTATCATGATGTCCTCAAGAGCATCGAAGGCTCTCATGCAGTGGGAACCAATCTCCTCCAGGATCATGACAGCAAGATTCAACTCAAAAGGAAGAAAGGTCACAATCATACAATGTTATGCACCTACAAATAATGCAGAGCAAGAGAAAAAGGAGGATTTCTACAGACAACTTCAATCAACACTGGACAAGACGTCAGTTGGCGATATCAAAATTCTGATGGGCGACATGAATGCCAAACTGGGAGGGGACAACACGGGAAGAGAACTAACCATGGGTCGAGAGGCACTAGGTGAAATGAATGAGAATGGAGAATTGTTTGCAGAATTCTGCGCATTCAACGATTTGGTG